ATGAGAGTCTCGGAGTCTTTGTATCTTCAACAACCTCTCTTGTTAACATCTTAGTTGATTCGGACACAATGCTAGTGTTCTCGTATGAAGGTGCGCATCTGCGGTCTTCACAATGAATACCTACATGTCCTGATACCATTCTTATGAGGGTCTTCGTTTGTAGCTCTTCCAGTTTGTTATTGAGGCATCTTCCTATTTGCCTTAAGTAGGACGCGCCGCAAGACAAAGACATTGCGTAAATCATGTTTTCGTTGCACTGTATACACCTGTCACGAGGCCTCTCGATGCACACAAGTTTATTTCCTTCATTAACTTGCCGGCACAATTCGCAGGCTTCTCGGGTGCACAAAAGCCACTTCTACTGCCAACCTTCCTGCACTAGAATAGTTTTTCTTCCCTAGTGCAGAATAGCGAACCGGATATTTATTCTCTCATTACTATCCTGCCTTTCCTCATCACATCTGTATATATCTCCCTCCACCTTAAATTGGGAAATGTTGGTGATCGCTTTCAGCGAAAAAGGGGCCGATAATTAAACGCAACTAAAAGCAACGATGACTGAGAGTGGGAAGCGGGTTGCGACGCCGGGTTTGAATGAGATGCGTTGCGGTAAAAGAGACCCTCTCACAGCATAGTCGCGTGATCTTTCAGTGGTACCGAGAGAGTCTGGTGCTTAGTCCTAATCACTTTTGTTACGGCCTTTAATCATGATGGGAATTAAGCTAAGTACACAGACAGACAGACAGACAGACAGACAGACAGACAGACAGACAGACAGACAGACAGACAGACAGACAGACAAACAGACAGACAGACAGACAGACAGACAGACAGACAGACAGACAGACAGACAGATAGATAGATAGATAGATAGATAGATAGATAGATAGATAGATAGATAGATAGATAGATAGATAGATAGATAGATAGATAGATAGATAGATAGATAGATAGATAGATAGATAGATAGATAGATAGATAGATAGATAGATAGATAGATAGATAGATAGATAGATAGATAGATAGATAGATAGATAGATAGATAGATAGATAGATAGATAGATGCTCCAGGTGCCTGCAGTACGCAAAAAAAAAGGCGTCGCATTTATTATAACCCTCTCTATGTTTTGCTAGGGCATCGTGATGTTCATCCATCGCATTGTATTCTGCGTACATTGGTTAACAACTTTCACTCTCGTTTGCTTCTTATTGGCAATGTCTACAGTCTTGGGCCAGATAGGCACAGGCAAGTGGTGGCGAACGGTACAGTGTAGTGCCTCTCTTTTGATTTTTCGTTTAAACATCATGCACTTTATCCCACGTACTGCTTTCTGGACGACAATGAGAGGGAAATAATGGCTCCTTTGTTACATTCGAAAAACTGCTTGAAAAGTCTAAGTGAACATCACTGTTTTGTCAGTCATAAATTAGCGCTTTCGTACAAGATGGGCAACATTTTTGGCGCTGAAAAGACTACTATTTCCTCCGCAAGTTTTCCATTGGGGGTGTGCGAATCTCCCAAGTTTTTAAAAGATGAACCGAGTAGCGTTTTGTTTGATTTGGTACTTTATAATAGTAGCACATATTCAAATTGTGGAATAACTTCCGAACAATTAGCACCACTTAAAAAAAGAGAAAAGAACTCAAAGGAAAGTGTAATAGTAAAATAGAGGATACGCTTCTTGCTTTAAACGACGAACTACCGAGATGCACACAGCCTGAGGTGTTACGACGACCATTAGCGCTAATTTATGTAGATGATCAAGGCGATTTTCTTTAGAATTTCAATGTTAACGACGCCATAATGTCATTAATTCACTGCTTGTAAATACAGAGAGAAGAATTGATTGACTGATTGATATGTAGGGTTTAACGTCCCAAAACCACTATATGATTATGAGAGACGCCGTAGTGGAGGGCTCCGGAAATTTAGACCACCTGGGGTTCTTTAACGTGCACCAAAATCTGAGCACACGGGCCTACAACATTTCCGCCTCCATCGGAAATGCAGCCGCCGCAGCCTGGATTCGAACCCGCGCCCTGCGGGTCAGCAGCCGAGTACCTTGACCACTAGACCACCGCGGCGGGGCTACAGAGAGAAGAACTTCCTCTGCTTGGAAATGCAGGGATACAAAATTTCATCCTTTGCAAATACACAAAATATACAGGCTTCATTATACAAAATATAATATCACCGCTATATTGCGTGCTACAAGCGCACCATGCTATCGGGCCATCTATTACGAAAGGCACACACGTTAATGCACATACTCCCTTAGTACCACGTACTGCTTGTACACCAAGTTGAAAACTGTTTCACGCGCATTACTGCTCGTGGTTTTGAGGCAATGCACTCATTACACCGAATAAAGCCATATGCGACAACATCACTGACGCAAGCAACTCTCTACTTTGTCGATTACATTTTAGTGATTCACAATTTAAGCTTCTCAAGTAACATAATAAAATAAATAGTGGACCCTATGGGGTTTAAGTACTCGCTAAGAAGAGGTAATCGCTATCGCGTTGCACTTTTGTAAGCAAAGATAAAGTCTCCCCTTCTCTTCTCTCTAAATTTTGTCCCCCCACCCCCCGGGAAATGCGCAGACTACAAACATTGACAGGATATAGGCATCTAAGCACCGCAAATAAAGCTGTTTCTTGTTACGTAACGAAGAGCGTTCTCGGAAGTGACGTAACACTGAGGGCAGCACTGTTGTGGGAGCCACCGATACTCACTCCGCATTCAACGTAAAGCCATTGATTGATTGATTTGTGGGGCTTAACGTCCCAAAACCACCATATGATTATGAAAGACGCCGTAGTGGAGGGCTCCGGAAATTTCGACCACCTGCGGTTCTTTAACGTGCACCCAAATCTGATTACACGGGCCTACAAAATTTCCGCCTCCATCGGAAATGCAGCCGCCGCAGCCGGGATTCGAACCCGCGACCTGCGGGTCAGCAGTCGAGTACCTTAGCCACTAGACCACCACCACGGCGGGGCAACGTAAAGCCATTGATCCACATGAGTTGCCTCAGTCTTTTTGTTGTTGTTGTTGTTTTTGTTCTTGTGAAAGCAAGTTCCTGTTGTGTTGAGATCCTTATACTGCGCGAAAACAAAGCGACCACACGTGTCATGTTCACGTCACAGAGATTTTATAGTAAACCATCGCGACAACTTTAGAGAGGGCTATTTCGCATAGTCTGCGTGAGCAGACTTGTTTTCAGGTTTTAATATTTTTTTTTACCAGGTTCAGCCATGGTTAATCTCCTTGCCTTTCTTTCATATTATTCTCTATCTCTCTCTTTTGCTACTAGTTGCAGCAACCCAACATATCAGCTATATTGTAATCTGAAAGGAACCGGTAAAAGATACGACTTCATCGCGAAGGTTCTATTGCAGCCAAATGCCCGCGCAGATAACTTGGCATACTGAGCCTGCTTAAAGACGACGCATGACCGTCGAAATGCTGCGTCTGAACTTCGGTATCGCAAGGTATCTCGAAGACAGTGAATTGGACGGTGTGGTGACAAAGAAATTCCCTCGAAACCCTTCTGCTGACACTTCGCTTGGCATCATGCAAAAGCGCAAACCAATGCAGCGATGTTGCACAGATCGGCTGGTGACGTCACTTCTCTACCTTTCTCTCTCTGCCATGCTTCTGCCCTGCGTGCGAAAAAGGCGTTGCCACGGCCAGTGTCTGCCAGCTATAGCACCATCGGTCAGCGATTGATAGCCCCGCCGTGGTGGTCTAGTGGCTAAGGTACTCGGCTTCTGACCCGCAGGTCGCGGGATCGAATCCGGCTGCGGCGGCTGCATTTCCGATGGAGGCGGAAATGTTGTAGGCCCGTGTACTCAGATTTGGGTGCACGTTAAAGAACCCCAGGTGGTCAAAATTTCTCGAGTCCTCCACTACGGCGTCTTTCATAATCATATGGCGGTTTGGGACGTTAAACACCACGTATTGATCAATCAGTGATTGATATGTGGGGGTTTAACGTCCCAAAACCACCATATGATTATGAGAGATTCCGTAGTGCAGGGTCCCGAAAATTTCGACCACCTGGGGTTCTTTACCGAGCGCCGAAATATGAGCACATAAGCCTACAACACTTCCGCCTCCATAGGAAATGCAGCCGCCGCAGCCGGGATTCGAACCCGCGACCAGCGGGTCAGCAACCGAGCACCTTAGTTACTAGACCACCATGGCGGGACTAGCACCATCGGTCAATAACATATCGCGAAAAAGGTCTAAGTAGGCAAGTTTTGTAAAAGGGAAATATTCTGAGTCACCATTAAATTTGAGAACTGAAATTCGCTTTGGTGCCTCTTAAAGCTTCGTCTTCGATTGAGGCGAAAATGTTTTAGGCCCGTGTACTCAGATATGGGTGCACGTTAAAGAACCCCAGGTGGTGAAAATTTCCGGAGCCCTCCACTACGGCGTCTCTCATAATCAAATAGTGGTTTTGGGACATTAAACCCCACAATCAATCAAACTGTTAAACTCCACATATTAATCACCATCTATCAATCCAAGCTTCTTTAACAGTTCAACGCAAAAATCGTACCCGCACTCGTGTATGAACGCGCCGTCATACAATCACAGACACACTATCACCTTCCTAATCGCTAGCCTGCTTCGTGCAAACGCCCTCCGGTTCCTATCTTGATTGGCATCTACCTCGGATTTTTGATCAATTCATCGTTGCTCTCAAGCTGATAACCGAACATTCATTCGCCGACACCGACATCGTTGTTTCTACGAAACGAGCATTGTTCAACGTTATCGCGTGAACAATTTACTGTGATCACTGAAGTTGCGAAATGCCAGGGGTGTAAACTGAGCCTTGTGTTACGTGCGATAGCAGGAAAAAATGAGATTCGTTTCCGTCACCGTTCTCGGGTGCTATATATGAAACCGTGGTGCACGAAACCACCGAGTACCGATAGGGTCGTTGAAATACACCGCCAGCGCGCTCTCGTCTGTGACCGTGAGGCATTCGCGTCAGAATTCGCATCGCCATGACAGATCCCAGCCGAGTGCACTATTTTCGCGACCTCCACATCAAGGGCATCAACTGGCGACCGACTCACTTTGTCGACGAAGTGCCCGTTTCCCGCTTGTGTGCGCTGTGCCTCACGATTCCAAGGAGAACCATGCTGTTGCCATGCGAACACTTTTTATGCGAGAAGTGTTTCGCATTCAAATCCCATGACGGCTTTGGCCTTTGTCCTTTGGATGAAACTTTTTTCGAAGAAGCGGAATGTGACAGTTACGATCTGCCCATCACAGCAGCAAAAGCCTTTCAGGTGAGCGACCAGTGTCAGTCAATCTCTGGGAAAAATCTTAGCACTACCGGTTAATGGAGTCAATGAAGTAATCTTATCACTCTTTCGCTGTCGCCAAACTCGCTTAATTAGGGAGTTTTAGTATTGTGCACCGCGAGCCCTTGCTGGTGCGGTCGCCGCCACTGCGCATGCATCGTACGCGAGTCGCCGTGCGCTTTCGCGGCCCACCCGCAGAAAATCCGAAATAGCGGGTGGCGTGTGTTCACGCTAGTGTCGAGGCTATGTGTAGTTTCCGTGCATTTGAGTTTCTGTGGCAGCTAAAGTCCCTAGATTGTTCCCCAGGAAGGGCAAACGTTATTCTACAACTCATATGGTGCCCGCAACGCCCGCAGCGCCTGCAAACGTTATTCTAAATCTCCCCATTATTAACCGCATAACGTTGATGCGTTGGTGCCTCTATTCGTTCGTTTCAGTGATTATTCAAAAAGCACCATAAAACAAGACGCTATCGCTCCGTTAGCAATGAACTTTATATAAAAAGTAACATGTTCTAGACTATCTTAGGAGGCAGAAAGCCAGAAATACACACTTAGTGATTGCTATTGCGGCAAAGAAGGTGTTTTGAGTAAACCAACCTCCTAACAGACCACGCCTTCATGCCCATTCGTTACATTCGTGATGAATGTTAAAAGCCACCGGAATTGAGGCATGTTATTGCGAGTACCTCATATGTCTCATATCTACTGTTCTGCTCGCAGAGTAAAAGAGTGAAGTTCTAATATAAGGAGTACGCGCCTGAGCGTTGCTAGACTCAAGCACATCTGTAGATTGCTTTCATACACGTCACAAAGTTAGGTCGGTGGTTGGCTTCAGTTTTTATTACTAACCCGGTATGGCCCATGAGACGGCTTTATGCTCTCCCATAGCCGAGTTCTAAGTACTCAAATCGTGAACCACTTTATTCTAAACACGACGCCACCACTGTAACGTGTGAGGCCCGCAGTAGAGTACTGAGTATTCTTCATCGTTAAACACCTTTTCTACGCATGCATGGGTCTCACACAGGCATTGTTTCTTTTGTTGCCCTTCGATGAAGGTTTACTGCTGGAACAAAGATCATGGATGCGACTTCAAGGGCGCTTTGAAAGACATGCTGAAACACTGCCGCAACGATTGCGCATTCCGCTCATGCGACAATTTGCAATGCGGCGAAGCAGTTGTGAACGAGAAAATTGGGACTCGCCAGGTAGCCGAATGCAGCACAACTGTTTCTTCAGCGTGCACAGAGAGCATGTCGTCAGATTGTGGAGCACTGACACTACAAGACGTCAGAAATGCCCTAAACGAAGTAGAGACGTCATTGATGAAACCGAACCAGGACAAGGTACCACCTGCTACAGAGTGTCGCATGAACGAGCTTACGGAACAAGCCGGGAACCAGGAGTCCAGGTTGGTCGAAGCTGCTGGCGAAGTCGGATCATCTGTAGCTGCAGAGACTGCTCAACCCGCGGCCACACCATCCCCGACTGTCTCGCAGGAACCAGCTTCTCGGCTAAATCCAGCGGAAGAAGCCAGTGTGTCACAATCGTCAGCATCCTGTTCGCAGAAAATGCTCAGAAAGGAAGAGCCCGAAATCTTTTCCATCATTTCCCGTAATCTTCTGACGAGGATGCAGAAAACTTCCACGGAAGATTTCCCGCAGCATTGCATCGACCCAGTCAACCTACCCAGAGGCGCATGTCGCTTAACGTTGACGAAGCCGCTGTCCACAACACGCACGTGGAAAGTGCTGGGGACGGCGACGTATGTTATCACCTTCGAAAACTGTCCATTTTTACTCACGGAAAGTCGCACGACCGCTTTGTACCGTCACAGTGTTGCATACGAGGGATGCAAGCTTCACCCTTTGGGTACGCTCCACTTTCCATTGTTTGTTGGGCCATGGACTGATTGGGACGATTGACTTTGTTGGAGTGGTGTTGGGTGCTCGGTGTTTGCTGCCTTCTTTTGACGTCTCTCTGCACAACGAGGAACGAGAGGAAACAATCAGCGTTCATATAAAACGCCGGCTGTCATTTGCGATGACGCTGGAGTTACAAGGCTAAAGTTTCAGTGCGTATTCGAAATACCACCTGCTGATTTTCGACGCGCTGGTTGCTACAGTAATGAAAGGGTGGGCCTTCAAATTGTTTTAAAGCAAGAAGACAACACGCATGACGCCCCCTTGAGCTGCTAAACTAGAATCTTATCATCTTTTACTTTCATGCTAGTGCTTTTTTTCTTTTACACGTCAGACACTGCTATCGAGGAATAAAAAAAATCTACTCCTTTGGGCTGAGTGTTTTATGATCTGTTGTATCCGCTTTACAACTTTAAGAATGCGCCTAAGATCAACCTCAAAGTTTTTTTCGAGAAGGTCATCGTAAATAGCTGCTGTAAAAGATGTCTTATTTAGCTTTTGTGTCATTGATGGTGTTAGTAAACGACAGAGTAGACCGAAATTTAAAGCACGGGACGACAGTGCAGAGTCATACTCTGCGATGACTTGCAAATGCTCTGACGGAAGTAATATTTAATGGTCAGTGGTGGCCCCCAAGAAACATTATAAACACATTCGCTAAAATGCTCTTAGTGCCGGAAGAAAGTAGCAATGCTCGACAGATAGATTCACTGTTGAATTTCACTAACAATAAAGTGAATAGGCCGGAATGGAGCTCAGAAGAGCTATTGTTCTTTAAGCGCATGGTACACACACAGGTTTAAACACACACAATCCAAACATAAACAACAAGCACTGCGGTTAAAGAAGGTGACGATGATTTCTCAGATAGATAGATAGATAGATAGATAGATAGATAGATAGATAGATAGATAGATAGATAGTGCATTTATTACATCATCATCAGCCTCATTACGTCCATCGCAGTTCGAAGGTCTCTCCCATAATCTGCCTATAAGCCAAATACCCACTTTCTGCTGCTATGTTATAACTGCAAATTTCATAATTCTGTCTGCCCACCTAATTCACTCTCTCTACGTCACGAGTTATCATAGCTGAAATTAAGAAAAAAGAAATGGACACGGACCAAGCACGCAACGTGTAAGCAGGATTAAGGGTAACAAACTGGATATACACTAAATGTGTTACCCATATTCACCGCCATCGAGTTTAATTTATAAGTTAATATACTTTCTACCGTGTCAAGGTCTGTCAAGAACACTTCTGACAGATTCTTTATTCGCGGCTCAATGAATGTTTGATATCTTGCGTGCGTGCGAGAGAAAAGTAACGCACTCACACGAACTTACTAATTTTAGATGAGGCTCATCTGACATAGCCGCTAAATATTCCTTAAATTACCGGGTTATGTTTGGGGCAACCGAAGGATTGTAAAAATGTTTCAAGAAACTTACTTTGTTTGTTAAGTTTCTTATTGGTTTGAAACTCGCTGCGCCTCAAGGTTGTGTGGGCGACCCTAAAGTAGCTTTTCCGTTTACTTTTGTCGCTAAGACATACAAACACAACACACGCGCTCACACACGCACACACGTATTCACACGTCGTCGGTAAAGGTGTCAATGAGCACGCTCTCTGGAGCCGCTTCAAAACTAGTTCTGCAAACGCGGCCAGATGCCGTTTAAGGGGAGATGCTACTCTAAAAACGATTTTCTTTATTAAGAGTCTGAATTTAACACAAATTGGCATGCTAATGGAGTTTTTTTCTTTTCTTTTCAAATATGTGATTTATTTTCATGTATACTGCTTGGTTTTCTTTCTGCAGGTCAGATACTGCAAAATTATGGCCATTGTTATGCAACAATTGTGACCTATAAAAATTTGAGATAAAGCATGCTGATATAGCTGACTATGATCCTTTGGAACCGTAGAGTTCAAAAAACTATATAAATTTTGTGCGTAAAAAGGTTAAATACAATAATAAGATAGAAAAATTTACTATGACTCTAGTTGCCAAGGGCTTTCAATGTTATGTAATTTTTGAAAAACATAATCAAGCAGCACTGACAATCTGAATAGATACTTGCACTTTAACGGCCTTCATCATGCTATGTGCAAAATTTCATAGAGGTATGACAATTCTAAGTATACAAACTAGCGTGTATAAGAAGCACAGATCACACAAAACTGCAAAAGGAGAAAAACGCATTTGAAAGTTTGAAACCTTTTTTTTATCACAGAGTTGTTAAAAATGCATAATCTTTGGCCATAACGTTCAACAGAACTTTGAAAAGCCCTGCAAGTTACTAGAACTGTCCTGCAGCATAGGTTTCTTTCTTTCTTTCTTTCTCAGAAAGAAACCATTTCCTCCAAACATGTGTGGCATATCCGTGTGCATTGGCCGTGGTCTTTTTTTTCCAAACAGGCCATCTATAGAAGACAGTATAAAAATGTACTGATGCTCGACTTTTTCGCTACCTGGTGGAAATTCTGTCAGACTGGTCTGGCGCCTCCTTGACGCTGGTTTTAACTTTTCTTTCGCTTTCATTCGTTTCTTTTAAATGCAAAGCATTTCTTAGCGAACTTAGCGACGACGTTGATCTATCTATCTATCTATCTATCTATCTATCTATCTATCTATCTATCTATCTATCTATCTATCTATCTATCTATCTATCTATCTATCTATCTATCTATCGGTCTATCTATCTATCTATCGGTCTATCTGTCTGTCTATCTATCTATCTATCTATCTATCTATCTATCTATCTATCTATCTATCTATCTATCTATCTATCTATCTATCTATCTATCTATCTATCTATCTATCTATCTATCTATCTATCTATCTATCTATCTATCTATCTATCTATCTATCTATCTATCTATCTATCTATCTATCTATCTATCTATCTATCTATCTATCTATCTATCTATCTATCTATCTATCTATCTATCTATCTATCTATCTGCCGGCCTGCCTGTCTGCCTGCGTGGCCCCCTACTTCTGGGTACTCTAATAATATGTTCATCACCTGGTATGGGAAGAAAACAGAGTTTTACGAAAATGACTCTCTGAGTATGACGGAAATAACCTGCAAATCTCGTCGCTTACGTTGTCAAGCCGTTTCCTCCAAACACGTGTGGCGTATACCCGTGTGCCAATGTCGGTGGTTCGTGGACTGGTGCTACATCTTATCAGGAAGGGCGAGAACAGAGAGAGGCAGCGTTGACCCCGCGAGTGCAAAGAATAAAAATTAGGGTTGCCAGCAGGAATCGAGGTCAAACGTTTCGCGCTGCAGTAAGGTATTCTATAACGGACCCACACCGAATCTTGAAACTGCTTTGCAAAAAGACCCTATGTAGCTGTAATGTCAGTTAAACGGAATGGTGGTTGCAGCCCGCTACTCAAATCTATCACTAAACTAACATTACCCATGTGCTCACCTAATACTGACGTCATGTCGGATTCACTTCAATTCTGCTTTACAGGCGTATAAAGTAGAGTACATATGTATCACTATGATTCAGGAAGCTATGTTCAAATGTTGCTCGACTTTAAAGAGGCAGGCTAACAAAAATTACGCACCATATTAACACCATAGCACCGTACCCAGCACTTTGAGTCGATAATACTGACGGCAGTGGTCTAACCTAAGTGTCTACGTTATCAGAGCATAAGTTACCACTTAAAGGCTACTGTACCTGGTAAGCCCACGATGTCGACCCAGCTATTACGCTCATAAAGAGTGGTCGATTTACCTCAAAACACTCGACTCAATGCCAAAAATTACAGCATAGACAATTTCTCGGCGTCTGATTCGCATGAAACCAATTCTGACAATGCATCGTATCTACTAACTTAATTGTTTTAAGGAATTCTCAGTACACCTTTCAAGATTGTCGTATCACCTTCATAAAAAATGTTATTCTTCAAATACATTGTTTTTATAACCACTTATTTTGCTTCGTAGCACACAAGACTTTTAGGGAAGTTCATTTCATTTTGATTCCTGTGGCAGAGTACCACAGAAATTTTACATGAGCCTAAAACATTGAAAAAAAAAAAGTCTTGTTTATGAAGCCACCCTGAGGATGAATACATTTTACCGCCGCAATTCGATGGGTTCAGCTGTTACGCAAGACTGACTGTAATGGATTCCCGCAGCTTTGCACAACCACTCCGCTAATGCGAGCAGGAAGTGCATTTACACAAGTGAGTTACGTTCGGGTATATGATGAAGCTGAGAATAAAAACGTAGAAAAAGTGCGTGCAGCACAAACGTGACAGATGAGCTAGTCTCTTAAAACGCGTTTCTCAACAAAACGAAAAAAAGAAATATTATGCAAATGCATTAGATAGAATGCCTTTCATGAAGAATACAATTTAGGAACAGGCATTGGCACTCCTGAATTTAAAATGAGGAGTCTCGAAGTATAGATTTCAAGTTACTATTTTGTTTAGTTGTGGCTAGTTTCGGGTTCATGTTTTTTTCGTTTTTGTTTTTGGCTTGACCAACCTATGAATCTTCGCTGAAGTGTTTCCCTCAATGATTCTTCGAACTTATTGTTTTCTTGGTTTGTCTTCATACGTCTTCTCTCTCCATCGTTCGTCATTTGTTTCTTCACTTTTTCTTTTTGTCTATATGGCAATCATTTATTTTTTTTGTTTCCTTAATCAAATGATGCGCCAATTTATTTGTAACTTATTATTTCGTGATTGACGCTGTCGATCGGGCGCGTGATCCCTCTTTTCTTTCTTAAACGCTTGACAGTGAGAAAATTGCAGTAAGTAAATCAATTTTTATTCCGTTAGCTAAAGGGATGAATTGCATTCGCTTTCGAGAAATTTAGTAGAGATAACAAATACATGAAATGCGTATTTTTAAATCATTCATTACGTCATGTATTTTGTCTAAAACACATCATGCACGATTTTTCGAACGCATCGAAATCTTTTTATAAAATGAAAACAATAACTAAGAAAAGTAAATCGAAGGGTCGAAATCAAGACTAGGAAAATGAACAATATTTTTTATTTAAATTTTAGAGTGTACACGTTTAAATAAAGTGTACATGTGTTAGCGTATGACTAATGTATTTTGTTTAAGCTAGTTTTAAAGTCATTGAATTTCTTCACAGAAGTAATATACAATACAATATTACTTGCGGCCAACTGTGCATTTTGAGTAAACTAATTGATCTTTTTAAACTTTCGAGATCTGATATAGTAAAGTTCTTAATGTAATTTACGATGTAATTTTTTTCATCTTTGCCCCTTTCCTTCTGTCCGTTCTTTCCTTCCTTCCCTTTCTAATCAATTGAATACTTTATTACTTATATCATACACTCATTTATTCATTTCATATTTTTTCC